TTATACTATAATAGACAAAGTGTTAGTCAATAAGCCTTTTATTTTAAGAACTACCTTCCCTCTATAACTTGATTTGTGCCACTGTTAGAACCTCTACTTGGAATATTATTGCTTTTAATTTTTGACTCATGTACTTTTAACTTGTTAGTTAAATTTGTCTTCTAGGCTGCAACACTTCCACAATACATCTTCAAGGATATGAACATGTACGGCTAAGCACAATTGATAAGAGTGCATCTAAATTCCAAAATCAATCTCCACAATAGTCTACGTGTTTCCTATTGCCAAAGGGGCCCTTTAGAGTAGTGAGAGAAGATCTTCACCCTGAAACCTACATTGTCCCTTTCAGCAGGAAGTAGCTAAGGGAATATGCCGTCCCCTTTTCCTTATGAATCAGGGTGAAGTCTCAGGAAGGAGAAAAGGACACACTGACAAAGGAGATTAATCAGAACTGGCTTCGACAAGCACTGTGGCAATGGGACAATTAAAACAGACTTTCAACAGGAAAAACAAAAAGGAACGAACTGGGGGGTAGAGAAAATAGTTCAACAATGAATGAATGGAAATCCAAAATCTCTGTAAATGTTCATTAAAATTAATAAAATTTTTAAAAAAAGAACTATACTGGGAAAAGGGGTAAGGGAAAAATTTTATAAAGAGTATGGTCTTGGAGGTGGAATGAGGACCTAAACCTCTAACCTCTTTGGTAGAAAGTAAATGGATAATGTCTAAAACTAAAAAATAAAAGCAAATTAAACTACATCAGCACATCATCTACTAGTAGAAAATAGATGACACAGTAAACAAGAAGACAGACAGCAAACAGAGCACCAGGCTGCTTTTTCACTGAAGTCCTATCGCTCCAGTTTATGTTTTAAGCTCTGGTCCAGATCTGTTGTTCCCTGAGTCGTAGTCAATGCAATGGTCTCTAACAACAACAACAAAGAGAAAAGTCAAAAGATTAGACTCTTGAAGAGCAAGGATATTTGACCTCAAGATTGTGAAGCAGACAAAAGTATTACAATATGGACATAAGAATAGCTAAATGATGTGAAGAGTCTTGAAGTACCTTTATTGACCATAAACTCATTCTTTTACACAGCTGGGGTGCTATAGTTTTGTGTTATTTCACATCTTCTGATCAACTAACAAAAGTTTTATAATTGATCCTAAGAAAGATGCTATTATCTTCTTGTTTCTACTTTTGAAGCTAGAGAGATGCATAAGGCCAGAGAGATGCATAAGGCCAGGTCCCTGTCCTTGTGGAAATATTCAGTAGGAAGGGAAAAGATGATACATAAAGATGGTCCTAAGCCAAAATGACTAAAAAGCACTCACACACATGGGCATCAGCAAGAATGCCACTGGGTTTGGAATTGGTCTCTGGCAACCACCAAAACACACGAGTGATACCAATAAGCCATCAGAATAAATTCCATGACAACAAAAATAATGATCCCAGATCTTTTTCCAGAGAGAAAGCCAAGCCCATGCTCCGCAGTGAGGACATATGCTAAGGGATGGAATCACGTCCAGGCTCTGAAAACAAACCTTGGCTGCCCTGAGTTTCATTATTCACTCACCCATTCAGCATAAATGTGCTCTGTAAATGCTAAGCGTGCCCATCACCCATTCATGTGCCAAGGTCAGACACAAAGCTGCTGGTGCTGCTTCCCTGCAGGGAATGGAAGAGGCATCCAATGGAGGAAATATGCCGATGTAAGAATTTGGAACGTGCCAACTGCCATAATCTAGAACAGATGCATCAAGATAGAAGTGTGCCATGCTACATTCCAACTGAAGAAAAATAGAAAACTGAATCTAGCAGACTGAAGTCTGCCTGAATGTTTTTTCTCATCCTAGTAATTCTCCATCTGTAGAGAAAATTCCTTCAGAGCTGCTGTATATAGGGTCACTATACATCATAGGCCACTCAACAGCATATAACAACAACAACATACTATATATTGGTTTTGTTTGGCTTTTTTTATTTTATTATTTATTTAACCTTCTTGTTTAGAGTCAACAAGACCCCAGGGAGGGCCTCTGTATTTAAAGTCAGTTGTCATTATATTTTGGAGGAACATTCTTCTAAGTTGAACAGCACTTTTCTGTCAATAAGCTATACTGAGGTACCCTGGGGTTGCTGTGATACTCAACCTTGTGCCACTGGGGTGTCAAATGTGATATGGTTACCCACGGTGGACAGTGTTTGGTGGAGCTCCCTGTTTAAGACAGGTTTGGAAGTAGGAGTGGCATCCACTTACTAAACAACATGCCTCTGGAAACTCTATAAACTTTGATAAATGTCAATAGTTATAGAAAGGCTTCAGGCCTTTTGTTCATAGGGTCGCTACGAGTTGTGCTCAACTTGACGGCAATCTATAACAACAATAACAATACACCTTTTGTAACTAGAATAACCTGAAAAAAAATTTTAAAGGTAAATTTTGCATAGTTTAGGAAATTCCCCAGGGGAAGGAATTAATTCTAGAATATTAAATAAAATGTTAGGACTGCTTCCCACACAGTCCGTATTGTCCATCTATTCTTTAGGTACTTATTATGTGGGAAAGTACATTACGTGCTAGGCTGCTAATATGCAAAAAAGTTCAGTAGTTCAAATCCACCAGACCAAGTAGATGATGAGAAAGGTGAGGCAGTCTGCCCCCATTAAGACACAAGGAAACCTAGTAGAGGTTCACTAGGTAGGTAGTTAGGAACTAACCCAAGGCAAGTGGACTGAAGGCAGCTTCATTTTTTGTGTAGAAAGTTCTTATTTCAGTTCCATTTATTACCTGAAGAGTTATGTATGTCAGGATAAAGAATCATTTCAGCCTGTTGAGTCTTCTCCAACAAGGCTTTCACAATTAGTATTATTAAGTCATTACCAACTACTGCCCTTGGAGCCCTGGTGATGCTACAGTTAAGTGCTCAGTTGCTAATCAAAAAGCTCACAGTTCGAGCCTACCCAGTGGGGAAAAGACCTGTGATGTGTTCACCTAAAGACCACAGCCGAGGAAGCCTAACGGGACCACTCACTCTACTGTGCACCCTATGTAAAACAGTCCTAAGACCTGCTCTATCCTGAACCAAACTTAATGTCTCTGATACACCTATCTCCATTACCCCAGTCACTGAATCAATCCATCTCATCGAGGATCTTGCTCTCCCACACTGTCCCTCTACCCTCCCAAACATAATGTCCCTGTCCAAGGACTGGTCCCTCCTTGCAACACATCCAAAGTATGTCAGACAGAGCTTCAGAATCCTTGCCTCTAAGGAGCAGCCTGGTTTCACCCTCTCCAGGACATAACTGTTTGTTCCCTTAGCACTGTAATCGTTAATAAAAAAATTAATAATATGAGGACACCTACGAGGAAGTCACAACCTAGGGACCATACATCTCAGAAACACACAGCCAAAAAAGGTGGCGGTAACTGAGACAGAGACAGGGACAACGTGCCATGGAAGCACTGGGACCAGCAGCCAGGTGACAAGTGGGTTAAATTCTGTGAGACACAAGTGACAAGTCTTTGAAGAGTTTTCCCCCCCTCACATGCACAGCTGACTCCCACGGAAAGGAGCACCTTCTCCTTCTCTGCGGGGACTCAGGCCATGGTGAAATGACCATCTGTCAGAGACGGTGATGCCCTCAAGAGGTGGGATTAAATGTCCTTTAAAGTCCTCTCCAATTCAAAAATTGTGTAATTCCATGAGATCAACAGAGGTAAAAACAGGAAGCTTCCGAGAAGGGAAACTCGAACCAAGCCCCCCCAAAAAACGTTAGCAGGAATCTAAATAAGCAGAAGGGAGAATGTAAGAAACTTTGCCGCTCCATGGATGCCAAGGCGAAAAAGCTTTACAGGGTGACTAAAACAAACATACAGCACCAACTCTGTATGCACTAGAACCTTTGAAAATATAGTAAAAATTCCAGCTTTTACTAGAAAATAACAAGTAGGCTTTCCTGGGTCACATATTTTAAAAACTCATTTTTATCACTCAAACTATATAAGCTGACAGCCCTACTGCAAGTGCTCACAATATCATAAAACGACACGTAGTAACACACAGACCACACAGAGAAAGATGTGGCATAAGTTAGCATGGCTGTTTGATCAGGAACTTAAACAGGCCCTGAAAATTACATAATCTAACTGTGTCTAAACAGTCGTAATGCTGTGATTTTCCATTTAAAGTGAATCTCTTCCCTTTTCTCCTCTCCTAACCCAAATGACCTAATTCTTTTATGCACCTTTCTCATTCAAGGTATCTACACGTTACCATTTAAAGACATAACAAGCAGCCTCAAGCAGGAGAAGCTGGTATCCCTTCAAAAGCCAAAAACAGAGATGTCTTTTGAAGGCTCCCCATTATTGACACTGCGACTGCTGCAAAGGGGTCAAGGTTGTCAGAGATGATGGGGTTGGCACAGGATAGGAACAGGGTTCCAATCTGTTGTTCATAAGGACTCTATGAGTTGTACTAGACTCAATGGCACTAACATTATTATTCAGAAGAACATGATTTCCTGATCGCATGTCATCCCCAGTGGGTCATTAAATTAATCCAAAAGTTAACTCTATTCTAACACGCTCAATATACTGAAACAAAAGCCTGAGATAATCACTGAGTGTTCTCAGACCATAGTTGCTGGAATAAGTGAATACTTCCAGGGTAAATAAAGTAGGACACTTATCATAAATTAAAAGTATAAACAAGTAAAACAATTTTTAAAAAGGCTTTATTTAGGCTGGAGAAGAAGACTGGTCATTGCTGGTCACACACAGGTGACAGAAACTTAGAGAAACATGTCCCAGGGAGAGCACTGGGGAAGAAGTGGAGGAACGTGCTAGTGATACAGGGCCACTCCAAATTCCATCAGCTTAGAAATAATGAGGTAAGTCAATGACTTGGTGTGTGACAGAAATGCTAGTATTTGAGTTCCATGATCAGACTCCGTTATTCACAAGCTGTTAGTCCACTTCCTGACCTACCTCCTTCTCTGACAGGTTCAGAGTAAGCAGGTGCAAGGTCCTGGTATGTGAGGACTTCCAGTCCACGGGCATCACGTTTCCATAATTATCCGTCAGTGCATTCCAAATCCTTCAAAGAAAAAAAATCACACATCAATGGAAGTTAACCTTCTCTATGCCTTTTCTTGTACCTTTACAGTGGAAGAGAAGAGCTTAGATAGTAAAAAGAACATGTCTGGCTGCTAACTACAAGGTTGCTGAGTTTAATCCACCAGAGGCTCCTCAGGAGGAAGACCTGGTGACACACTTGTGAAAACTGGCCACTGGAAGTCCTGTGAGGCACAGGTCTTCTCATCACACAACGGGTCATCATGAACTGACACAGCTGACAGTAGAGCAGAAGAAGAAAGAGCATCAACTTCAACAAAGAAAAGCAGCACATGCTTTCCCAGAAAGCCACCAACAAAGTAGAGCGCAAACAAGGCCAAATGAAAATCCTATACCTGAGCTAACAAGAAGTCTTGAGGAAAGTGGGAGATAAACCTCCCAACATCACTAGGCTCCTAGTTTCTAGACGTTAACAAACTACTCTTGCTACTACTAACAGCTAACACTGCAACTGTGGTATGTGCCAGGCACTCTTCTAAGCAATCTATACATATCAACTCATTTAATCTTCAAAAGCTCTTAGGTGCCAAATTAGCTCCAATGCACAGCTATCTTACCGTGAATAACAGATCTGCACCTTGCCCTTCACTTTTCCAAAAATACTGTCTTCTTCCAAAGATCGGCCCTTCCTGACAACATGCTTAAAGTGTGTGAGATGAATTTTCACTAGCCCTGCCTCAAAGGAGAAACTTGGCTCCACTTCTTCCAACACCAACTGGTCTGTTTTTTGGGCAATCCATGTTCCTTATTATTGCTGCGTTATAGCTAAGGAAGCTGAGGTACAGAGAGTAATGTTGTGTTTTCAGGGCCAGACAAGTAGTTCCCACATTGTATATTTATTTTCCTTCTATGAATTCTAAACACAGAAAACAAATTAAAACCTCACTGCCATAAGGTTGATTCTACAGCACAACAATCCTACCAGCCTACAGGGTAGAACTGCCCTGTGAGGTGACCAAGGCTGTAACCCTTACAGAGGGAACTCCCAGTAGTTAGGTGGGAGCTCCAGAGCCCTAGAGGTAAGAAGATGTACTGCAATCCCAAAGGCATGCTGTTTGAATCTACCAGTTGGTCTGCAAGAGAAGGATCTCCTCCTACACAATTTACTGTCTCTGAAATCCTGTTGGAGGGTCAGCTATGGGTTCATTCCAACACAACAACAGTGGTAAAGGTATTGCACTGCTAACCCAAAGGCAAGCAGTTTGAATCCACCAACTGCTCTGTGGGAGAAAGACAATCTCCTGCCATGCGATTTATAATCTCTAAAAAGCCTGCTGAAGGGTCAGCTCTAAGTTGGTTCCAACTCTACGGCACATAACAACAACACTCTTTACAGAGAGAGACTGCCACATTTTTCTCCCTCAAAGTGGAGGGTGAGTTCACAGTGGCTGTACTTTGGTTAGTAGCTAAGTTGTTAACCACTGCACTTCCACGGTTGTTTCCACACAGACTATTTCATAAAAGTCAATAATCTCTAACCAAAGATGGTATACCTCTGTTGAAGCTCAGTGTGAGTGGAAATAAAATTCAAAATATAATCAGCTAACAACTAAGAAAAATGAAACTGAAAGGAGAAGTAGAGTTTACAATGTTACAGTCTCGGCAATACTCACTGCAGTTCACCTCCCTTCTTGGCAAACACCATTTTGGGAAGGCAACAAAGTAAAATGAGAAGGATATGTGACTGAGATTCAAGATTCTTGTGTCCATTCTTTTTCAAACTAAGAATTTTGGGACAAGTTCCTTAACCTCTTTAGGCACTGGGCAGCTTCTATAAAATGAGAAGACTGACAAAAATAGCAGTGATGCCTTCCAGTTCTGTTCTAAGTCTTCACACAAATGAAATGCTTTAAAGTCTTAAACCACTCAATGACAGGGCATCAGAACAAACTCAGAGCTGGCCCGCCTGTGGGTTTCTGGATGCAGTAAATAGCACAGGAGTAAACAGCCCATCTTTCTCCTGAGGAGCAGCTTGTGGACTTGAGCTGCCCTCCTTTGAGTTGTCTGTCCAACTTCTTACCCACCCAGAGATCCCTCAGGTAACATCGGCAAACTCCAATGTCATGACTAAATGACAGGCCTGGCAATCTCCCTGTGGAAACAACCGTGGAAGTGCAGTGGTTAACAACTTAGCTACTAACCAAAGTACAGCCACTGTGAACTCACCCTCCACTTTGAGGCAGAAAAATGTGGCAGGCTTCAGAACCAAAGTAATAGAACAACAAAAGCTGAAGTTGTATTTTAAAAATATAGTTTGGAGATAAAACTGGGACAAATTCAAATGAGCAAATAAAAGTTAAATGCAATACAAAGAAGCTATTTAGTGGCTGGTGGTATACAAATACATGTCATAGGGAGGAAAAAAGATCTGAAAATAATAATGGGGATTCTAACTGTGTACAGGGAGCCCTGGTGACATGGTCCACTGAAGTTCACGGCCACATTTTCCTGGCAGTTCAAACCCACCAGCGGCTTCATGGGAGAAGAGATGGGCAATCTCACCCAGAATGATTTACAGGCATGGAGGGTCAGCTCTGAATCAGTTCTGATGATGGGAATGAGTATTAAATAATGAAACTGTTAACAGCCCCTGGATAGTGCAAACGGTTAAGTTGGACAACTAATTAAAAAGTCAGCAGTTCAAACCCACCCAGCAGCACCTCCGAATACAGGCCTGGCAATCTCCTGAAACATTACAGCCTGAAAACCTTGGGGTACACAGTTGTCCTCTACACAAATGGGGTCATCGTGAGGCAGAATCAAGTTGACAGCAACAAACACCAGCAAGAACTGGGAATAAACAATTCAGTAACTGGGTGGGGTTTTTGCCCAAATATGCAAGCCACTGGGATACAGATATAATAAACAACACAGGTGCATAAAAATAAGCAAGCAAGATTTAAAAATAGAGAGGCAACATACTTGACTTAATGAATAGGGATTTAGTGCTAAAGAGAAGAAGCAACAGGACCACAAATCATAAAATCCCAAAGGTTGTCAGCTTTGGAATGCACACTCAGCCTCGCTAAAATGTGAACGCTAGAAATCTGGCTCCTTTACCCAGCAAATCCCCATACACACAGTACATTTCTAGTGTTTTGGCATCAGATGTCCTCTAACACCACATTCCAGAATGAGAGGCAAGGCCTCCAGATTGCTCTCTGGGTTTCTGGCCCACACTTTCTTGGCAAAATGACTATGAAATACTGAAGAAGTGACTGTATCTAACTCTGGACAGGAAAGTCAGCAGGATGAAACTGAAGACTGTCCAAAGTTTCTGGGTTGGGTTTGATTTGGTTTGTCTGCTAGCTTATTCCTTTTCAAATGACACTCTAATAAAGGACAGGTGGAGTGAGATATTTCATCTCCATGAAAGGATTGTGGGAGAATTTGACCTTCTAGAAAATTAAGGGCAATGAACAGTCCTCTCTTCCCACCAAGAACAAACCAGGTGCAACTGACGAGACAGAGGGCCAAGTGAAAGACTTCCAGAATTCTCCAGTAACAACCGGTCATAAACAACAGCGCTAGAAAGATCAAATTCCAACAACACTGAATTCTGTACATAACTTTTTTCTAAAGTGAAATCTAGGTAGATAAATACACACCATAAGTAACGAAATTAAAACCGAAACTGAGAATAGTTAAATACAGTGCCCTGTTGATAGGTTTCCATTCCCAGTGACCCCATGTGACAGAGGAGAACTCTCACACAGGATTTCCTTTACTAATCTTTAAGGAAGCAGCCACCAACTCTTTCTCCTACAGAGCCCCCAGGAGGGTTCCAACAGGACACTTTCCAGTTAGCACTGGAGTGCTTAGTCACAGACTTACCAGGGCTCCTTCAAGTGCCCTAGAGCAAGGCACTATCTGAGGTAAAGAACTCACAACTCCAGTGAAGGAGCAGGAATGGGCGCTTTCCAAGTGGTGACCAGCACTGTTTGTGGTGAAACACAAACAGATTTCTTAACTATCAAGAAACATGCATTCCCACAGACACTTCTACTAAAAGCCATTATCCAACACAACAAAATGTTTTAAGTTCTACATCAACCTAAGATCTAACAAAGGCTTAGAATCTTTTCCAGATAGTACTGTGAGGTAAAACCTGAAACCTTTGTCTATATATACATCTCCTGATTTGTTTTGAGTATGTAACTCTTGATACATAATTATAATTTCAACATTCAAAAATGTCCTGAGTTTCAGTGGTTTATAATATATAAATATACATATATATAAAGCTTTTTTCTCTCTGAGACTATATTTCACAACTGTCATCTTTGCTAGTGGCTACATGCGTGTTGTATAAAATCCAATCGTGAATTTTTCCTTCTCTCTGCCTAGACCAACACTGTGAAAAAGTATCAATAAAAAAAGATCTAAGTTCAGCAAAACTGTAAGATAATAAAAATCAGCAAATGCCAAGGATTCAAGGGGAGGGGAGAGGAGATAGAGAGGTGGAGCCCTGGGCATTTTTTAGGGCAGGAAACTATTCTGCATGACACGGTAATGGTGACAGCATGCAGCTGTCAAAGCCCACAGGGTTGCACAATATGAAGAATGAAGAGTAGATCCTACAGTCAACTGAATGAAATGCTGCCTCGTCCTGTACCATCTCCATACTGGGTTACATGGGGGCTGCAGTATAGAGTGAACTCGGGACTTTCTGTATAAAGAACCATGGTGGTGCAATGAAAGTGTGTCTTGGTCTGGAAGCACCACTGACATCTGGTCCACGTCACAGCAACACGCAAGCCTTTTCAGACAATGGATGCACTGGCTGGGAATCAAATCTGAATCTCTGACATGGGAGATTTCTACCACAAAACAACACTGACTCAGCTAGTTAATAATAATGAACCAACATTAGTTCACCATGCGAATGCCAAGATGTTAGAAACAGAAGACACAGTACACATGGGGGTTGAGGTATATATGATCTCTGCACTTTCTCTATAAGGATCCCTCGTGGTGCAGTGGTCAAGCACTTGGCTGCTCACCCAAAGGTTGAAGGTTCAAGTACATACCCAATGATCCTATAAGAGAAGGACACTGTTTCTTACTTCGTTACATGGGATTGGTATGAGCTGAAATCTATTTCACAACACTCAAAGGAGCCCTGGTGGCTGAGTGACTAAAACATCTGGCTGGTAACCTAAATGTCTTCAGTTCTAATCCACTAGCCATCCTGTAGATGAGGTCAACTTCTGCAGTGAAGCTTGAAAGCTCTGTGGGGCAGCTCTACTCTACCCTAAGGGGCAGTGTTATGTTGAATCGACTTCACTAATCTGGCTGTGAGCTTAGCAATAATATACTGCATATTTCTGTATTATCTTTCTATAAACTTAAAATGGCCCTAAAATTTAATTTAAAATTTTAAAACAAATAGATATGGATATGGTTTTCACACACAGCTGGACCTAAGTTTAACACTGTCTATGGCCTCCAATTCTCAACCATCTCACATTCACTACCTCACCCCCTGTTTGGAAGAAAAGTGAGGCCATCAGGCTGGAAGCATATTTCTGAGCCATGGATCCCCAACTCTTAAAGGCAGAATGTCTTCCCTAAACTTTAACCTCTCCACCAGCGCTCCGAAGGCCATCCCTATTTATGTTTCCAGTCCTCCACTAATTTTGCCTTTACAGTAACTCCTCTCCCACACACATATACAATATGCTCAGCTTCTTCCTCTCACCTCTGACCATCTTAGGTAAACCACTGCTCTGTGATTCTAATTTCCACTGAACCACATATAAATGTGGCCCAAGATGGCTAGAAAGGTCATTCCAGTAATTCTGCTCACTACTCTTCCTAAAATTCATTAAAAAGAAAAAAAAAAAAAAAACAAAAAAACCCAAAAAGAGTAAACCACTCTTCCAGAGTCACTCATAGTAACCCTCCACTGAGTTTCCTAGCTGTTTATCTACTCTCAGCTAGTGCGGTTGACAAATTCAAACTGCCAACCCATACATTTCCACTATGATACCAGTACTGCTTAATTCTCATAAGTCACTGGGAATGTCTAGGCTTTGCATTTGGCTAGATCTGTTCATTGTTCATGACTAGGTCTCCCCATCACACGGAGATTCTTCGCTTTTTGTTTCTGGGATAGCTGGCATCCAGCGTGGGCACTCTGCTCATTGCACTGCTATGGAGTCTGAACCGACTCATCGTTGGCCCTCCAGTGGGTTTTGGGGAGCGGGTGTTGTAAACTGTACTAGAGACGAGGAGTCGGTGGTAGGCTCGAACTGTGGAGGCACAGGCTTGGGTAGTGGCTCAACTCCCTAGGTTCTATGCCGCCAGAGCTTCCCTTACAGGGACCTGTGGCAGAAATGCTGCTCCACACCTTATTACTGCACGTAAGATATCCACAGCCTAGAACGCTAGACCTTCACCTGCCATCCATCAGAGTACTCTTCACATCTCTTTCCAAAGACTTCCCAGACTCTCAAACACACCTTTTAAATCTTCTATATTTTGCACTTATAGCCACTTCTCACACCACTGGAATATCTGTTTACAAATCAATATCTCCTCCTAGGCTGTGTCCTGCCTCAGCGGCGTAAGAGCCAGTCATCTTGGTATTCCAGGCGCAAGGCAAGGCCGCTGGCACTTTGCAAGAGCGTAATAAACGCTACTGGACTAAATGAATGGCTGGCTATACACGTGCCTGAGGAGGTTAAGATCTCTTTTGAGGGAGCTCAGGAGGCGGGATGCAGGCATTATTTCAATCGCTGTGGCTGCAGAGGCCAAAATCGCTGAGGGAGGGGACCCGAGAGCAGGGAGGGGGCGGTGACTCCGGGTCAACAGAGGCGGAAGAAGGGTGCAGGGAGGAGCCTGTGGGGTCCCGACAGGGCTGTGGACAGGGGCCCGCGGAGCCACGCAGGCAGGGAGCTCCGCCCGCCCCGCGCCCCCGCCCGCCCGCCCGCACTCACTCGTCCCCCTGCAAGAGGCTGTGCTCTGTGATGGGCCGCACCGCCGCCCGCGGGGGCTCGGCGCCCGCGCCCGACGGGCGGAAACACAGGCTGAGCTTCTCCTCCAAGCTGCAAGCCAGCGACGGGAAGTTGTCGCCTCCCCCGCCCGCCTCTGCCCCGGCATCGGGACTCGCGTGACAGCTGTCCTGGTCCTGGACGCTCCGGGCCGGCTCCTGGAACTCATAGAAATCCTGCCAGTCCCCGTCCGCCGCCATCGCCGCCAGGCGCAGCCGCGCGCCCCACCCCAACGGAGCCAGCCCCGCCCCGCGCGCTGCAGCCACGCCTATCCTGACACGCCCCCGTCCTGGCCACGCCTACCCTGACTTTGGACCCGCCCCACCCAGCCAGGATCCCGCCTCCTGCCCAATGTAACCTAGTGTTGAGGGACTCTTCAACAGATTTTAGAGACCTTATCTTTTGATGAGCTAAGGGTGCATTGCAACCATCCCACACGTTGGGCACTATACAATAAGGGCATTTTGTGAATATTTACCAGTAACTTGTTTTGTTGTGGGGTAGGCACTATCAAATTAAGTAGGCCTCAGTGATTTTGCACTATCGAATTAACTAGGCCTCAGTGATTTTAGGAACAACGAATCTGAATCTTGCCTTGTTCCACACTGTCCTCACAACCTTTGGAAATGCTCCAGTCCATTGTTAAAGGCACTTGGTCAATCTACCTTGTTGAGGGTTATCCTCTTTTTCTCTGACCCTCCACATTTCCCAAATCTTGCCCAGGAACTGGCACTTCGGAACAACATGTCCAAAGTATGTGACACGAAGTTTCACCACTCTTGATTCTAAGGAGCCCACTGGTTACACTTCCTACGAAATAGATGCATTTGTTCTTTTTTGCAATGCATGGGAAATTCAGTACTTTTTCCCAACAACATGATTCAAAACACTGATTCTTCTATCACCCTCTTAAACTTTTAGAATGTAGCAATTAAGGAAAATTGCCATTGAGTGGGGACCAACTCATAGTGGACAATCTAGCCCGTTTTGTTACTGTTGTGTACCGTCGAGTCGAAACAGACCCGTAGCTCACCCTCTGGTGGGTTTTCAGAGGCAGTTAATCACACAGGAGGGGATTGCCCATCTTTCTCCCTGCAGACCAGCTGATGGTTCCGAACCCCTTCCTTGCCTTTAAGATTGCAAGGGAGCTTCTTACCACTAGGCCACCAGAGCTCTCTAGCTAGTTCAAAAGCAGGTCATTTAAAGGACCCTGGTCTGATTCAGACACACCTTAGTCTTCAAACTGACATCATTGCTCCTCAGTAATTTGGAGAGGTCCTTCATAATGGACTTTCCCAGTGCAATATGTTAACTGGTCTCCTGACTGCTGGTACCAAGGGTGTTGTTTCTAGATGTAAGTAAGAAGAAATTGTTGACAATTTCAGTTTTTTCTGTCATGAAGTTACTTATTGATCAGTGGTGAGGATTTTTGTCTTCTAAATGTTGAGATGCAATCTGTATTGAAGGCAATAATCCTTGATCTTCTACAACAATTATTTCAAGTTCTCCTCACTTTCAGCAAATAAGGTTGAGTCATCTGCCTAATGCAACTTATTGATGACCCTTCTTCCTATTCTAATGCTACATTCTTTTTCATAGACTCCAAATTCTCGAACTATTTGTTCAGCAAACAGGTTGTATAGTTATAGAGAAAGGATACAATCGTAGTGCACATCTTTCCTGATTTTAAAACATTCCATGTTTCCTTCTTCCATTCAGACAAACTCTTCTACATCTATGGTTCACATGAGCAGGAGCACGTATTCTGGGAATCTCATCCTTCTCAATGTTAGCCTCTTTCCTATCCTTCCTTCACTGACTCTTTCCGCCTTTCTAAGCATGATGTTCCTCTCCAAGGAATTGCCCCTCCTAACAACATGTCCAAAGTGTGTGAGATGAAACTTCACCATGATTGCCTTCAAGAAGCACTCTGGATGCACTTTTTTTTTTCTCCAGGATATATTGTTATTTTGGCAGTCCATGGGATATTCAGTACTTTGCTCCAGCAGTACAATTCAAAGGCATCAATTCTTCTGTCATCCTTATTTACTGTCCAGCTCTTAAAGGTATAGCAAGAAACTGAAAAACCATGACCTGAATCAGGCACACCTTAGTTTTCTAACTGACATCATTGCTTCTTAGTATTTTGGAGTATTTTAGTGTTTTGAACAGGTTTTAGTGGACTTCCCAGATTCAGACAAACGAGGAAGCAGGATTGGCCATCTACTTCTGAAATAATAGAACATAGAAAACCCTATGAAAAATAGAGGAATATATGTAGTCGTACTATTAGAGATAGAGCCTAAATTCCAAGTCACCCAAAGTAGAGGAGAAACAACTGCAAATATTCATTAATAATTGTTGTTGTTGATTGATGTTGAGCCAAGCACCACTCACAGTGACCCTATGAATAAAAGGCCTGAAGCTTTTCTATAACTATTGTCACTTATCAAAGTTCAGAGTTTCCAGAGGCATGTTGTTTAGGAAATGGATGCCGTTCCTGCTTCCAAACCTGTCTTAAACTGGGAGCTCCACCAAATACTGTCTACCATGAGTAAGCATTTGACACCCCAATGGCACAAGGCTCAGCATCACAGCAACCCCAGGTTACCTCAGTGCAGTATATTGGCAGAAGAGTGCAGTACCACTAAGAAGAATGCTCCTCCAAAATATAATAACAACAACTGACTTTTAAATACAAAGGCCCTCCCCAATGTCTTGTTGACTCTAAACAAGAGGAGGCTTAAATAAAGAACCAATATAGTATGTTGTTGTTATGTGCCTTTGAGTTACCTGCAACCTATAGTGACCCTATGTACAGCATCTCTGAATCTTCCCTGTCCCAAACCAGTCTCATTAATTCCGACACACCAAGTGCCATTGCGCCAGATACTGTATCAATCTATCTCATCCAGGGTCTTCCTCGTCTGTGCTGTTCCTCCACTCTACTGAGTATGATGTCTTTCTCCAAGGACCAGTCTCTCCTAGCTATGTGCTCAAAGTATATGAGACAGATCTTCAAAATCCTACCCTCCAATTAAAGATTTGGTTTCACCCTCTCCAAGACAGACTGATTTGTTTTCTTTGCAGTCCATGGTGTGTTCAAGACTCTTCTCCAGCACCACAACTCGAAGGTATCTAGTCTTCTTCTGCCATTCTTAGTCATTGTGCAGCTCTCTGGAGCATAACAAGTAATTGAGAAGATTCCCCCCCACCCCCGCCTGGATTACTCACACTTTTGTCTCTAGACTGACATAATATACTAAATATGAATCTAGGAAAACATGAAATTGTCAGAAATGAAAGGAAAGGCATAAAGATTGACATTCTAGGCATTAGAGAGCTAAGATGGACTTTCACTGGTCACTTTGGATCAGATGAGCATATGACTTACTATTTCAGAAACTTTTAAAAAATGAGAGAGTGGTGATACATTCATAGTTAAATAGATAATTTCAAGATCTATCCTGAAGTATAATGTTATGAATGATAGGATATGATATGATACTATCCATAATTTTACAAGGAAGTAAGTTCTGCTAATACAACTGAGCAAAGAAAGGACTGTTATAAATTCCTATTATCGTGGGCAGAATCCAGCCTATCAAAGTTTGTTTTATATTTACAAGTATTATTCAGAGTCCCCACAGGTAAAGGGTAGCATAAATGAAAACTTTCTATGGACATTATCTTTCATGAAGAAGGAGCTGATTTTATGTGTGTATAATAAGTGATACTAAGTGACTCTGGAAGCAAGGAATCATTTCTACTAATAATTAAATAAGCAATATTTAATACTCAGGAATGAAATACTTTCATTGAAGATCTGCTAAAATTAAATACACCACTTAACAGTTTCCAAAACGTCAAAAGAATTAGAAAGGGTTACCAAATTATTAACATCTTTTTTGTCTTTTATTTGCAATTGATGGTGATTCTATATGCAACAAATTAATTTTTAAAATAAAATGTAATTAGTTTAACGGCATAATAATATTTTCATTTATACCCTTCAAATTTTTAATTAGCTTTTGAAGGTCTCTGATTTACAGAAAGTTCTTTGTTGTACTCAGTTGTTGCATTATCATGTCATCTGCTTTGGCAGTTTCAAAATACCTAGTTGTGGCCTAGCGGTGAGAAACTGTGCTACAATATCAAAGACATGTGGCTTGAATCCACCAGCTGCTCCAAAGGAAAAGGACAGGCAACCTCCTCGAGTGCTATTTATTGCCTCTGAAAACCCACTGGAGGTAGAGTTTGGGGTCAGTTCCAACTCGATGGCACACAACAGTTCTAATAAGTGAAGTTCTAAATCCTCTTCATTTATTAACTTTCTTATTATCTGACATTTTATATTTATGAGAATAGTGAAAAATCTACTATTTAGTGTATTAACTACACATGTCTGATGAGAAGGAATACCAAGGTGCACAATAACACTCGCTAACTGTGACATGGACTGCTAAGAGGACAAACAAGTTCACCCTGGAGACAGTGAAGCCAGGCTGCTCCTTAGAGACAAGGATTCTGAAGCTTCTTCTAATATACTTTGGACATGTTTCAAGGATGAACCAGTCCTTGGAGAGGGACATCGTGCTTGGGAGGGTGGAGGGACAGCACAGAAGAGGAAGACCTTTGCTGAGATGGATTGATTCAGTAACTGGGGTAATGGGGGTAGGTGTATTAGAGATAATAAGACTGGCAAAGGATAGAGCAGGGTTTACAACTGTTGTACATGTAGTAGCTATGAGTCACAGGTAACTCAACAGCACATAACAACAACAGCAACTGTGACGTGTGGTCTTTTGGCAGTTATGTAATGTGGTGTTAAGAGCTTATTGTTCAATATGGCTTTCCTAGCCCTTGGCTTTGACTTTGCCATGTGGATGGATGGGAATATGTGAATAAGACATATTAGCCTATTCACAAGAGGACTGGCTAGTCTTGCCACTAAACTGAGCAGATTCAGCAGCACATTTTGGAAATATTACCACCAACAAAAAAGCAGAGAACATAGAGTACCTACCCTTTGGAGTCCAAGATTCCTGTGCCACTCAGACTACCTACAGGGGTGACAGCAGCAGCAACACCAGAGATCTGATATGAGACAGAACTGATCCTGGGACGGCTACCCTACAGAACCAGAGCAAGGAGCTTTCACCAAGTTCATTTGAGTACTGGAGGAGAAAGCCATAATTAC